CAAACAAGCAAAATTAATTATGATTACAGATTCAGGACATGGAGCACCGTTAAAAAAACAGGCCTTGGTCGATGAGTAAGTAGGGCTGTCAAAACGGCTCGTTGTTCGCGAACTGCTCATGTTCGACTCGTTAAGAAGCTCGTGTTCGACTCCTTTGCTAAGTTAATGAGCCGACACGAACAACACAAACAAATATTTGCTCGTTCGTGTCCTGCTCCTTTTGGCTCGCAATACTACAAATCAATTATATATATCTTTGATGAGAAGTATTTTTAAAAAATTAATTGACTGCAAGACTACAATGATTTATAATCAATTAAAAGTATTAATTAAGAAAATAGAATAAAAATACTTAAATTTAAAACGGCTCTTTGTTCGTGAACGACTTGTGTTGGGCTCGTTTGCTTGTACAGCGGGCTAAGCAAACGAGCCGGAGAGCCGAACACGAACACATTTTTTGAGCTCGAAATATAAACGAGCTGAACACGAGCCCGGGCTCGCTCGTGTTCGACTCGTTTACACCCTTATGAGTAAGAGAGCACTCTTCTTTGTTAAATCACTTGATTAAAACATGGAAGAATCAAGTGCATCCCACTTAATTCCTACTTGCTTGCATATCTAACCCCTAAATTTTAGTTCTTAAATTTTAAATATATGACACGAACCAAACTTATGCGTGAAGATGTGTATTCAACAATTTAGAAGTTAAAAATAAATGTATTTTTATGATATGAAATTTTTGGGTGGTATAAATATAAATGTAAAGTTTAGATACTGTTAGATTAATTTTATGGATTATGTAGCACGAATCTTAAGGAAATCTGACATTTCGATAAAGACAAAATAACGAAGGTCTGGAGGATTGACCAACCGATTCTTAGCCACTTGGATCAGGTCAAAGAAATCCATTCGAGGGAATTCTGGGCTGATCAGCCTCTTCTTCCTTCAGCATCTGATCTTCTCAAAACTAAATGTCATCAACCTGACCGTTCGGTTGCCTTGTGAACAAACCAATCGACTCCTCCTCGAAAGCATTAATCATACAAATGCATATATCTTATAACAACAAAAGCTCCTCTCTTCGAATCATGAAAGAATATGAATGTATAATCACATAGCTGCAATTAGTTAATTACACCTTGCTGTGGGATTCGTGAAGTCTCCTTGGCTCGGACACAAACTCATAAAGCCAATGTCGTCGCTACAGTTAATACTTGTGCAGCAAATGGCAACAGTTAGTTCATGCTCTCTTGTCTTTCTATTTCAAATGGGTTTTGTTCTATCGTTTTTCAGGTTTCCTCGGAAGTTTTTTTATTGTAAATTCATTCAATCATTTATATGGTGAGAAAATTTAAAAAATGACTACTTAATAAAGAAGCATTTTTGAAGAAAATATTGGCGAAAATGAGATTGAGTTGTAAGAAGATTGTATAAGATTTCCTAAGCTATCAAATAAGATCAAATATTAGATGAATGTTATGATTCTAATGGATGAGTCTATTTGTCGGGCACCAAAAGTTTGGTTGTAAGCAGATTATACTCTTCAACCACGTCGATTGAAGTTAAAGCTATATGACTTGCCTCCAGATGGACTTGGCGAGTTCTTCCATAGAGCTCAACAGAATTTATCGTGCTACACTTACAAGTTCGTTGAAGAATCCTTGAAGGCCGCCTCCACAGCAGGAGGAAGCAAATTCCAACCCAACACTATCCATGCCCCATTTCATGAGCGGCATGATGTCCATAGTGTTACCTCACATCAACGAAAATTCTCAAAAGCCATTGTATTGTACAGTATGGCCTAAATTTTTTTTATTTTATTTTCTTTTATTTTCTCTTTTTCTAGCAAGGAGGTTTAATGCACGCTGAACTTCTTATAAGAGTGCTAATTAAAAAAAAAAAACAATCTATTTTTGAAAAATTTCTTTAAATGTGATATTTCTAAAAATTTAGCATTTAAAATGTATATATGTACAAAATCGATACTAAGTCATTTTAATTCATTTTCTTAATATATTTTAAATTTATAATATTTTATGGTTTTTAGTTATCTTAATTAAAAAAGGATTAATAAATAAAATTATTTGATCATTGACTACTAAAACTTAATTAGAAGCAAGTTAAGATTTTAATTGAAATAGCTTTATTATTAATATTATGATCCCTATTTAACAATGATGCGAGCACCTAATGAGTAGCTAAATCGATTTAATAAAGAAATTTTAGGCAGATAACTCATTGAAAGGATTGAGTAAGATTGTATTAAACTCAAAGAAGATAAATTAATCAAGCTATGTAATTTCTGTCAAGTTGCACCCATGGTTGTATAGAATAACCTAGGGGTGTCAAAACTTGAACCAACGCGGCAATTAGATTGAAACCCGACTCAAAAAATCAGAGTTCGGGTTGAACCGAATAATTTATGGATCGGGTTTGGGTTAAAGAACCTAATTCGTTTAATTTTTTGAGTCAGTTTCGGGTGACCCGCCTACCCGAAAATGATCTGCCAACTTTACATTTATTTGAAATTGACCCGAAATTGACTCAAAATTGACCCAAAGTTGATCCAATTTAAACCCAAATGATGGTTTTTCCTATGTTAAATGGGTTATATGGGTCGGGTTCTGGTTGGTGGGACCTATTCGAGTCGAGCCATCTTTGGGTCAGATCCGACCAGTTCCACAAACCCAAATTGACACCCCTACAATAACTTATATATAAATTGTATTAGAAGATAAATTTTATGCAATGGCAGTAAAAATTTCATGACTTTGATAGAGTTGCAGTTGGCGGTTGAGAATTATTGTTGGGTGGTTTGCAGAGAGTGGTCGTAATTGTGAAATGCTAGTGGGAATTTGCCGAGAGTGTTCATAGCTGTGAAAACCATGTAAGTGGCAGATAGTTGAGGCATCAAATTTGGCATTAGCATGTTCTTATCACTGCCTCTCAAAATGAGGAATCAATGGTTAATTGGAGAGTCAACCTGTCAGGTAATTATTTGAAGCGAGTGATAGATTACAGGTTTGGTGAGAATGTTTGTTGGCTGGTCTTGAGTGATGACGTGTTTGTTTGGGGAGAATGTGTTTCTATATGGAATGATAATCTATTTTAGTGTGTTTTAACTTGGCATGAAAAATGGTGTTAATGGTGAGAGCCATTGCTAAAGTATTATCACAGTATAATGAGTATACTTAGAAATAGAAATTTGGAAGTCATTAAGACGTTGAGGTAGCCAAATGATGTCAATCGTGACTGTGGAAAGAGCTCGACTTTCAATGCAATGATTGATAATTATCAGATCAGGCATTGTTTTTACGGTTAATCAGCTATGTCAATTCATGCATAATGCATCCATTCATCATTTTCAACTTCTGAAAAGTCTATTTTGTTACACCAGATGCAACAGTTATTTTGGGCTACCCATACGCAAAAAGAACCTCAGTCTACACTCATATCATATTCATATTAGGTTATCGATTCTTCTCATCACAAGTCCACCAGTTGGTATTGTACCTTTTCTTAAAACCACTCTTTTATTCTGCGTAAGGAAACAACCTGCCAAAATCTCCCACATGAGTTGAATATCAAGCTCTCTCCACAACTGGAACTGAAATCATTTAACTACTCGACATAAAGGCTTCCAAATTTATATTTCGAAGCCAATTCAACTATATTGTGATAATAGTTCAACAATTGTACTCGCCAATAACCCTGGTTTTTATGTTAGGACAAAACACATCAAAATAGATTATCACTTCATATGTGAACGCATTCTCTCCAAAGTAATCATTGATAAACACACCAGCACTTAAGGCCAGCACCAAGCCCCTATTTGTAACTTGCTTCAAACAATTACATGACTAGTTGACTCTCCAACCATTGGATACTCATCTCAAAGGGTGATGATAAGAGCGTGCTAATATCAAATATGGTACATCAATTATCCACCACTTACTTTGTTTTCATAACTACCCTACAATATTTCACCTATGATTACGACCTCTCTCTACAAACCACCATCAGCCACCGTCCACTCCTTGCGACGAAGCAACCTACAAAGGAGCCCATCATCTAAACACTAAGCCGACCCAAAGACGATGCAACAATGTGCCAAGAAAACTGTGCAACAACAACACCCAAATACGGTGCAACAATGCTCCCAGGATGCAACAATGCATCCAAAAGACGGTGTAGCAATGCACCCCAAAGACAGCGCAACATCACATCTTAAAGATGGTGTAACGATACACCCTGCATATCTTCGTGCAGCTACCGACTCCGACCCCCGTGGCTTGCAGCTGTCATTACAACTAAACACTACGGTCTACGTGACCAACCATGACCTACATGGTTCACAAATCGTGCACCTCCAGACTCCAGCCCCTACGACCTATGGACATCATTTTAACTCATTTATATGACCTACGTAACTAATTATGCCTTACGTGGTCCACAACTCCCTATTACAACTTATATGTCTAATTGATGCTCATAAAATAATCATCTTCGACCCACATGGCCAACTATTGTCATGGTTATCAACTACGACTTCTACTACACTCATGACAGACCATTACCTCCGTGGTAATCGACTATGACCCTTGCAGCTTGTTGTTGCCAAGAACTACAATCGATTATAAATATTCAAATTTGTAATTTTATCTTCTCTAATTAAGAAAAAAGGTGGGCATGCGTACTCACCATTCACAGTAAAATATTTCAACTGGGCTAGACTCCATAATTTTTCACTTTTTAAGGATTTTTCATATAAAAATTTCTAGTGTCTCCATTGATTATTTTTCTTTCATGTGACTGTGTGTTGAATTTTTATACAATATCAAGACGATAATTCATTACTCTGCCGTTATAAATTTTAAACGTTCATTAATATACATACATATATAACATATGTATATATATAGATAATTGATTAATGAACCAAAGTCCACTTCTTGACCACGATCCACTTTTTAAACATTCTCGGACGCCGTGAACAGAGCTTCACTGTGACCACGTCGCTCCTTCCCACGTGATCAGCAATGGAGAAAGCCCCAACCAAACAAGAGCGATAACTTCTCTCATCGGGATAAGCATGACTGCAAGAGCAGGAGAAGAAGAAGCAGGGGAACGGTGATTCCTTCATCAAGGCCATTTACACCCTTCCCTCTTACAACCGAGCAGAGCAATGAAATGCCCTCTTAAAAGCCAGCAGATTACAGTCCTTATGTTTAATTATCCTCTCTTTTTCTAACTACCACTATCTCTCCACCTCTTTCCTGTCTTCCCATCTTCCCATCCCCTTCTTCTATATTTATACTTCTCCTCTTTCGTTGCTCGCTCCGTGCTGCAGAGTACAAATGGAGGTTGGCTCCAAGTTCTTATTTTTATACTTCTTTTTTACTCTGTTCTTGATAGGAAAGTTTAATATAGTTTTATTTGAATCGTTTTGTGCTGCAGGAGATGATGAGGTGGCAAATTCCTGCTTTTGGAAACTGGGAATACTACGACGATTTGGACATCTCTCACTACTTCGATTGTGTAGGCCATGATACTCTGTTTCCGCCATGTTTCTTCTGCGAGGAGGAGCTCTTCAAAGCTCCGGTAGCCATGCCGGTGAAGTATTCATATCCTTACGACGACCATTGCCGCCGAAAGGTCAGACCTTTGGAGCTCTCTTTGGTTTCTCTTTAGGTTTATGTTCGGATTTAGCGGATTTGTCAAGGTTTTTTTCTCTTTAATGGTTTGTTTCAGGTGAGGAAAAAAGTAAGCGGCGCTGGAGAGAATAAGCGCAGCAAGAAGGTGCAGGAACAGAGGAAGCAAGAAAGGGTCTGCAACGCAACGGCGGCGACGCCTAGAAGGCGCACGGCTCCCATGGCGGTGGATGAGGATTTGTACAAGATTCCGCCTGAGCTTCTCTATCCCAAGCGCAAGAGGAAGAAGGTGCTGAGGAGTCTGTTATCGGGTTGTATGGGCGTGGCCTGCATCCGCTGAGCTTGATGAAGAACAATTGGATCACAAAATTTGCTCTTTTGCGTGTTTCATTCATGTCCCTTTAAAAAAATTTGTTGCCTTGCAAAACCTGAAGTTTGCCTTGTTGATCGTACTTTTTCAATTTTGTCAAGCGTAATTTCTAATTTTGATGACGCCATTGATATGAATGGCAATTGGGACAAGTTTTGGCACCTTTTCTGGTTGGGTTTGAGTAAATTCTATCCCAATATGTTGGACTTAAAGGAGGACTGGCGAGCGCTCGTATGCGTGTCGTGTTCGGTGGGATGCTCGAATTTTTTTTCACATTGTCGGACGAGGTTCTAAATTTATTTATTGTTTAGGTCAAACTGCTCGAATCAGGTTTGATCCGACTCAAAACTCATGATGAAATCTGACTCATCTAACTCTATTATGTGAGTCATATAAAATTTTCAAATTAATATATCTCAATTAATTAACCTAATTTGAACCTACTTTTTTTTTTCTTAATTTAGAGTAGTTATTTGGGCCAATGCTAATTTGTACGTCCTAAAAAATATTTGCTCGAGCTGCAAATATTTAATTATCTACACGAAATTCATATGAGGTGTCTTTCTAGGATAAATCAAATAATGTAAACGATGATCTGGTCTGATCAAATAAGTTCAAATTAAATAATGTGCTTCAAACATAATAAGAAATTTTGAAATATAATTTGCTAGGCCAAATGATCTTCAAATACGTTAAATTTATAGTCAAATCAATAGTTTCGATCAAAATGAATCCAATGACTCTAAGATTACTTAATTATGACATAATTAAGACATTTAATTACTCATAAAAAATCATGAGATCAAAATGATCACTTCGGATTGTACCAGTTAGTTGTTTGGATTAATGCGGTATTTGCAAACAAATGTTACTCTCAAAATTTGTCAATAGATCTGTTGCATGATGGAAGATTCACGACGGTAAAGTGATATTTAAAGTTTTAGCATTGCACGAAAATTCAACACATACAAATCGATAATAAAAAAGCAGCAAGATGAAACACCATGAGTATTAACATGAAAATATCCTATAAAGTGAAAAGTATTATGCGGTGAACCCCAATCAAAATGATCCACTATATAGTCGTAACTACATAAGTTCACTTTTCTCTTGAATTAAAGAAGTTAAAAAATCAAATCTTATAATTGCATATTTACATTTCTAGGCATGCGTACAGTGTATTGATGCAATGATTGTGACGTGAATGTCATACAACACTTTAAGTAATGATCGATGTGTGTACTTTTTATGTAATGATGATGATCTCTTGTAAGAGTTAGTTTTTCCGGAGATAAATCAACTACTTAGGTAGGTGGCCTCAACTTGACCACTTTGATCGGTGGGTTCGGTTTGACCACTTCCGCAGTGACCCAGTTCAACCACTTCAGCAGTTCCAAAAAAACATGATTAATTAAATTATTATTATTGAGATAAAAATTTTATTTCACTAAACACCATTCAAAGGCCGCACATCCGCACCGTTCACTTTTCTTACAAGAAAATTTCTTCCCTTCTACGTGTAAAAGCTTTACTCACAACGAATTTGCCATGCTCCGGATGTGGGACATCCATCCTTGCTGCAGCGTGGTATCTATCGTCCTGACGCGGTCCGTCCTTCCCCGCAGGAGATGCTGATTGCCTTTTTAGGCCTATTTACACACATATCACAAATTCTATTTATTTACATACCTAAATTTATATATATATATATATATATATATATA